GCCCCCCCCCCCAGTCTCTGCTCCCCTCCTGCTAAACTTAGCAAAGGTCACTGTGTACAGACTGCTGCTAAACCTGTCACCTTTGAGCTGGCACTGGTGTTGTCATCTGTGTATGTGGCAGAGGGTGATCGCTACACCCCTTCTATTCTCTGCACTGTGTGCATTCTGATTTATCAATCTGCTTATTACACGTGAAGGGTCATACATAGCTATTCAGTCCATGTATGAAAAATAATACATCCTAAGATGTAATCAACAGCTGTGAGGTACAAAAAAACAAAACAAATGCGCAGTTTTTGGAGATTACAACTACCTGTTGATTCCAGCAGAATTCAGACGAAATACTTGGTAGTTTTTTTTTTTTCTTCAAATACAATGTTTTAGGAGATCGGTCCCAGTTGGCATGTGTGTGTGTGTGGCATCTGTCACTTTTTTTGTTCAAAAACTTGCAAATATATTACATCTGCACACATACGCCATATTGTGATTGTCAATTTTGGGCCTTGAGGTGTTGGTTGGTTTAACACAATGTTTGTGATCTGTGACGTGAGTAGCCTGATGACAATTGGGAAAAACTCTTTTGGCTTTGGCATGATTAATGCGCCCTTGAGGGGTTTCCACCTATCGGGAAACAGCGTCTTTCTGTGACGGTGAACTTTTGGCGTTTTTGTCATTACTTGGCTTTGCATTCTTTTAGTAGATAACTGACCATAACTGAAAACTACATGCGTAAATCTTAAATTCCCGGACAGTTTTTGTCCTAATAGTAAAGCTTTTTTGGTTCTCTAAATTTGATTTAACATTTTTTTTTCTGATTCTAGAGCTAACTTGGCTGTAAATATGTGATTAGGATAAAATTCTAAACTAAACACTGCAGATCACACCTGTGTTGCAGTGTGAACAGAGGACATAGAAAACATGTTCTCTGTGTGCCCTTGCAGAGAGCTGCATTTTTCTATTGAAAAAACACAGCTCTCTGCACAAGTGTGGACTTTAGTTCCCCTTTCACACAGGCAGTTTATTCAGATCCACCTGTCAGTTTTTTGGTCAGATCTGATCGGCAGCCCAATATTACTCTATGGGAAGCCAAATGTAAGTGGGCATGCATCTGTTTACATTGGGTTGCCTCCAACTCTAGGTATGAAAAAAATGGAACAGAGTTCTATTTTGGCTGAACTGATCCTCATGGATAACGGGTATTGGATGTAAATAGACATGTCCACTTACAACGGACTTCCCATAGGCCTAACATGGGTCCGGTTGGTTCAGTTTGTTCCTCCAACGCAAGATGGCTGGTAATATTCAAAATAGCTGATTAGCTTGTGCAGAATAAAACTGTGGACAGTAGAGGTCAAAATTTGTAAATGTGAGTTCACAAGGCCAGTGGCACCGGTAGCAGAAGTAAGTATTCAGTCTCTCCTTTACAGGTATGCTCTCAGTTTAAAATAATTATTTTATGACAGGGTCACTTTAAAGAGTGAGTGTGATCATATTTAGTAGGTGTTCTTTTTAAAAGAAAGGTTTGCTCTTTCTTAAATTACTTTGGGAGTATGCTACCTGAATTTCTCTTTGCAGAGGTGTTCATGGATACCATTAATATTGTTTTCATGTTTTTCTTAAGCTGGGTACACATTGTTATTACCAGCTTGCGGGCTGAGCAAAAAAAAAAAAGACAGATTCCTCCATCCACACAAAGTAACATGGATGAACGAATCTCCTGCTGTGTAAATTGCATTGACAGTGGTGCCAGATGTCAGAATACAATATGGGGGGTGTAGTTTAGGTCAGGAAGGCTTAAAGGTGTTCAGAAGTGTGCATAATTTAGAGCAGTGGTCCCCAACCCCCGGGCCGCAGACCGATACCGGTCCGTGGATCAAATGGTACCGGGCCGCGGAATTCGTATCGCCCAACGCCCGGGACATGTAGTTCCGGGCAAGTGCTTTTTACCCTTTTTTTTTTTTTTTTCTCTTAAA